AAGCTGCCTCCATTTCTTACCCTACCTTCTGGCTCTGTGGTCCTGCCTTCTGCTTGCCCTACATCTCATTCTTTCTGTTGTTTCCTTCAGGAACAAACCCACCTTGCATATTCAATTGTATTCATATGCTTTGCATTGATATTGGCACAGTTCTTGTGCTTTCTAAATTTCAGTGTTTGGTTCTCTTTCACTAGACTCTGCTGCATTTTGATTTGAGATGTCAAGGAGACAGATCATCATTCTAAATGAGGAATGAGATTTTTTAATCAGCACAGAGAAAAAGAAGGGAGGAGCTCAGCCTTTCAGCAGCTAAACACACAAAGTATAGGAGTTTCCTGTGTAAAATGCAGACTTGAGATTGGTTGGAAAAGAAGCACAATGCCTTCCTCAGAAGATAGCATCGCAGCTTTGTGCTGAAGAGGCATTTAATGCTCTCCAGGCACCACAGCCACACTTGGGTCAGAGAATAGATAAAGTGGGAAAGCTCCTAAAGCAGTTAGATTACGGGCCGGGGAGCTCACTCTCCCCCGTTGCGGCTGTGCTGCATAACGCCCAGAACACAGAGGCCACATGTGGTCTACTCGTGCTTTTCAGAAAATACCCAGCACAGCCTGTTCCCTACAGCATGGAACAACACAAGATCAACAGCCAGAGCTACCAGCATGGATATGCTACATCCAGAAACTGAGTAGCAGTTGCAGAGCTGGATGGATATGGGACCATTTCTAACTCCCATTTTTTGAGTTGTGATGAACCTGAAGGGCTTTGTGTATTTGACTCAGTGAAATGCTTCTACCAGAGCTCCAGGTGTGTTTTCTAGAAAATCTGAAGACAGCAAATCGCTTGATTTAACCTTCTATTCATTAACTTAATTTTAGATCTGTGAGAGGGCTTCATCTGAATCTCGTCTTCATCGGCAAACAAGGTTTGGGAAGGTTGATTTCCACAATGCTTGGAGCTTATGTGCCATGGCTTGTAGGCCTCAGTAGGGAAGATGCTCGACGTATCTACCCTTTCATGCAGAAGAACGTGTATGACCTTCTGAGAGAGTCTGGGTACTTACATATCCAGTCCACCAAACCAGACACTGCAGGTAATTTACCTTCTCTCTATCACTGTGAGCACTGTATAGTAAATGCTTATAGTATATACAATCTTATAGCAACAAAGGCCAATCAAGTTTAAGAAGCAATAAGTTTTGGTAACTGAGTGAAAGACCCATGTGGGCAGTGAGCTCACAGGGACAAGAACTGTGTAAAACAAAATTAAAAGGAACAGCTCAAAAAAAGATGGAGATTTCAAATATCACTTTTCAAGGCCTTTTGGATAGCATGCCACTTCTCTCAGGCGAAGAACCCCTTTCCAAAAAGTATCCTAAAATAAAGCACAGAGTCCTGAAGTTGAAGCTTCTAGAAATAAATGTGGTTGAAAACAAGAAAAATATCCAAAGCAAGTAAGTGCAACAAGAAACTTGCAGGAAGGTAGACACAGCCCTAACACGTGAAAAAGTGTCAGAAGCCTGACATATTGGATCCAGTAGATAAGGAGTATGAAGAAATATAGGGCTGTTTCATAAAAGTTAAATTATTTACATCAGTCCCCACTAGAGAGGATTTTGCGGTATTGCCTTATTGAAATAGCCTGTCATCAGGAAAGACAGCAGAGCTATCAGCTATGGAGACCACAGAACAAACAAGCACCCCATCCTGGCAATTCACTGAAGAAGAAAAAGTTGAAACTGAAATGTCAGCTAATGTCTAGTCTGCTAATGTCTAGTCTGTTGCTTGAAGTAATCACAATACCAAAGATAAAAAAGGAGAAAAAGAGATACCAGTTTGGAGGGGGATTGTGGTGGTGGCATTTCTGGTTGTTTGGGGTTTTTTTAAGGGCCAAACAGTGAAGGTAGCCTGAGAAAAATAAAGACTAGTATGTCTAGTCTCTGATCAGAAAACTAGCAGAGCTATTTTAAAGAGAAGAACTGATTTACAGATGATAATATCACAGGGAAACCATACTTCAAAAATCAGAGCTCTGGCAGAATCAAAGAGCTGTGAGTCCAGTAATGGAACTTACATAACTTCCAGAAAATACTTTGTTGAGATTCCTCCAGTGTTCTTAAGAAATTAAACTACCTTAAGAAATTAAACTGCCTTAAGAAAAGGATTAAACTAGTCAATGTGAGAATCAAGCACAGGAATAAATAAGCAAGTTCCAGGAGAGAGAGAGTATCAAAAATCTGTGCTGGCACTTGTACACTTCAATATGATCCTGATTTCTCTTCAAATAAAAGTTAATGATTAGCTGAAGAATTGACAGCTATCCAAGATTTGGTTTAATCTAAAGATAAATGGTTTTTTTGCAACTCTACAGTTAAGTGACTGGTTGACAAAACCAGCCAATAGAAACTGATGTTAACAAAGTCCAAAGCAGTTTAAGTAAAGTTAAAAAATCACAATGAGGTCAAGTTTGGCTTCTGCCATATGAGAGAATCCATGAGAAACATCAGCCTGCTCAGAGTTTAAGAGAATCTTACAAACTGTTAAAGAAAATAAAAAAAGGAAACCCTAAATCCATGATATTCTGAATCTATTGCATGCCTGTTAACCCTGTTTCATTATTGTATTTTAGAATCAGAAGAATACATGAAGGGGAGAAAGGCTGAAGTGATTGTACAGTGCTTCTATGGAAGCTGCTCACAGTCTAGGATTCTTCATACTCTATTTCTGTATTTATGATGTTTGCTAATGTTCCCCAAGGGAGGAAGAGATAACAGATACACAACATTCCACTGTTTAAATTAGATAAAACGTGATGAACAGCACTAACAGTCCTAGTTGCCCATTCAAAACAGGACAGTGCTCCCAAATAATTTATCTGAAGGTTCTTTTCAGAGTGTAATCCCTTTACATCTGAATTTACTCCTGCCACACATTACCAAGAAGCCAATAGGACTTCCTTAGTTCCTGGCTTCTTTTGTATAGGAATTACTTGAGTTTGTAGTGCCATCGGTTACAGCTGGAATTACTTTGGGGGGAATTTGTCATGAATAAAGTACTATCAGGGGTATTAAAATACAGACTCATTACTGAATTCTCATAGAAAACTGAACACTTATGAAAGTCCAGTTTAATTCCCACTGAAGTATTGCAATGCTGGGCAACTGCAATAACCCTTTTATTTTCCTGAATTAGGTTGTGGACTGAATGACTCCCCGGTGGGGCTTGCTGCATATATTTTGGAGAAATTCTCCACCTGGACAGACAAATCATTTCTAAATAAAGATAATGGAGGCTTGGAAAGGTAAGAAAACAGATGTTATTCCATGCAAAGTCTCATTAAAAGAATGAGCGATAATAACGAATATGAGGATTCAGGTAAAAGATTGGCCAGTCAAATCTGAAATTTAAGGATGAAAGACCACACATGACAAGTAGTAGCTTAAACTTACAGCAGACTGCCTGCAAACCATTGATTCAGAACAAGGTGGTTTTGCTCTGGGCACATGGGTGCCAATTAATTTGCTACTTGAAAATGAGCAGAGAACAAGAGGAACAACTTCAGGACATGAGCTCAATACAGTGCATTGAGAAATAGCTTCTGGTTACATTTCTTCATCCTTCTCTCTCAACAGCAAATACTCTCTTGATGAGCTTTTGACCAATGTGATGATTTATTGGGTGACATCCTCCATTGTGTCCTCAATGCGATTCTACAAGGAGAACTTTTCCAAGGACCCTTTTCAAGCTGCTCGTAACAGGTAATGAAGTGGTAGGTGCAAGACAGATTTGCAAATGAGATGGAAACATTTGCCTGTATAAACATTTAGATCACTTACAATAGCAAATCTAACTCAGAAAAAAAATAAATCAAAGTTCTTATTATGTTTTGATGAATATAGTTAAGGGTCACTTTTCTTTTGAACCTATAACTCACACAGGGTGGCTTGCAACCAAGGCAATATGTACTAGTCAAAGCATCAAATGCAGTCTTGTGTTCAAAATACAGGTCTATATACTTCTTTGCCAAACAAATGTAATCCGTTACTCAGTTCAGTAAAAACAAAACAGAAAATCATGGGCATATCCCAGAGAGAAGTTTAAACTGAATTAGGAAGGATATGGCTTGCTGGAGGATAAACTAAGAACTACAGCAGTTAAGCACAAACTTGGGGAAGGATTTTGGAGAGCAGTACTTGAAACCAAGCACCTCCTGACAGCTGGTATTTTAAGATGACTTTAAGAGAGGCTGACCAGAAAAATATTGCTGAATGGATTTCTCCAAGCAACAGATCATACAAACAAATGGAGGAGTGTTTTTCTTTGTGACTGAACCAGTCTACCTTCCCTCCCCAGAGATTCATTTATTACACATTTGGTACCACAAGTTTAAATCAAATGTGAGCTGGTTCATTTCTGATTTTCACAGAGGTGCAGCATCTTGTCACATAGCACAAAATTACAGAACCACCTAAGCTCAGAGTGAAACATTTCAGGATCGAACTGTGTGCAAAGTTGGCTCTCCTTTACACAGTTTCAGGTATAACATGTTTATACTCAAGGATATCCAAACAGAAGTGAAGCCCTTCAGCAGAGTGCAGGCCACAAGGTGTGCTGCTGATATGAAACTATGGCAGTTACCAGTCAGAAAGTTTTTATGGACTTTCCCTGAGACTTGTTTCAAAAATGCAATAAACTTGTGTCTTCTAGGATTGGTGTACATGTTCCCACAGGGATTGCAGCTTTTCCTCAGGAGATAATTCATACACCACGTATCTGGGCAAAGGATGTCTACAAGAACATCGTCACTTACTCTTACATGCCACGTGGAGGGCATTTTGCTGCCTTTGAGGAACCAAAGCTTCTGGCACAAGACATCATGCAGTTTGTCAGAAAAGTGGAACAGCTGTAAACCTGCAGTTTAAATATATGCATAGAATGGAAGCAAATTGTTCTGGCACCAGCAGAACCTTTGTTTTGAAGGATTAAAGAAATCCAATGTAATCACATATAGAAACAAGCATTTTATTTTGATAATTTCAGTACTATACTTGTTAATCGAGCTGTGAAGATTTTTATAAGGAGAAAAACAAAAAAAACCACAACCAACCAAACAAAAATAATAGTAAAAAAAACCCAAAGCACCTTGTGTTCTTTCATTCCCAGCACCATATCATTGCTGAATTCATAGTTCAAGTATAACAAAATATGTAAACAGTTTATTGCAGTAACATTGCATTCATTTGGGACAGAGAGGTGAAAAAAAATGGCTAAGGCTTGTGTTCAAAAGTTTTAAATACTTGGGCACTAGCATTCTTAAATATGTATTACAAGCAGCTTTGGTGGAAGTGTAAAGGGTTTTGATCTCTTGAGCACAAACACTCATACATTCAAGTGATATTTCATTCAAAAACCTGTGATTACATATTCAAGTGGGCAGCTGCACAAAAGGCAGCTTTCTTCATTCTAGCAGTTTCTCCCCTAGAACAAGTTCTAGCAGCTACTGCACATTGTAAACAGTTGTTAATGGATAATATGGCAGAGACACCACTCCTAGTGTTCTCCAAGCTCAAAAATATCAAGTTCCTCCTAGTTCTATAACACATCCTGTCCTGTTCTGCACTAGAGAACAGCTCAGAAGAACAGGCTCAAATCTGCTTCCAAGTGATACAATATGACTCAGAACAGGAATTTGGCAGATAAAGACAGTGCTGAACTTCATCACAGTCCCCTGACTTCTACACATTCCAAAAAAGTCTAGGTTCAAGACTTATAAGAGATAAAAGTAAGCAAGAAACTTGCTTACTTTGTTGTTTAGCGAGAATAAGTTACAATATTGAGGCAGAACTCCTTTTCTGAAGAAGGTTAGCAAAAACTGCTTACTTTTAATTGTATCTGTATGTTTAACTGATTGTCAGGGCTGTTGGACTAAGGATTTAAAAAAAAAAAAAAAAAATTGCTTATTGCTACCCTGCCTCCACAGAACTGGTCAAGCTCTTTCCGTCTCCAGTACAGAACAGCACTAGGTACAAGATCTCCCATCTGCCGAGAAATCGCACTCTTTGGAATGTTAAGGACCTGAAACCGAGGTCTGTAGAAGTCTAATTTTATCAAATAGATGGATAATAACTTGATTACTCAAGTGGGGTGGGCACCACAACAGCTGAGGGGATACCAAGAGCTGCAGCTGCTCCTAAGCACACAGCAGGGTGCATCCCAACACACTAATTCATCTGCTCTGCCACAGCTCAAGTCCCTCAGAAATTACTGCACCTTTGCCTTAAAGGGGATTTGCCTTCAACAAGAAATCAGGAAGTGACAAAAGATGAGTGCAGCCAAGCTACAGGAAGACAATAAACGCCCTGGAGAAAAAAAAAATTCAGACAGAAAAAGATACATGGTTACATTGGATAAAATTAACACTTAACAAAGGATAATTAATATTCCAGTTGGACATCTACAGAGCCCAGTCATTCACTAAAGCCTTTGAGGGTCACTGGTGCTTGGAACCAGATGTAGTCCTCCCAGTCAGGCGCTGTGTGCTGTGGAGGCGAGGCACTCAGGTGGGGGTCTCCATCACAGGACAATCTAACAGTCAGCTTCCTCCCTCGTGTTGGCACTTTGTAGTTCAGCTTGGGCCGGAACCACTCAACACCACAGTCCCGGTGGCCCTGGACCAGGACGAGCGTGCCTGTGATAGGGAGAGCCTTCAGTTCACTGAAGATGTCTGCAACAAACAGGCTGTGAAAGAGCTGGCGAACACAGGGGGCAGTCTGCAGGCTCTCCTCAGCACTGCCCTCGCAGATCCCTTCCAAGTTCAGCTCATAGAGCTCCTTGGGGTTCATGACATTTCCTCCAAGCAGGAAAAGAACCCGAGGAACCAGCGTCAAACTAAACATGACTTCCAGATGCTGGAACAATCCCTCCAGCTCCATTAGCACCTGCTGGCACTTGCTGCTTCCCAGGCCCGTGGAGGGTGGCTTCTCAATCTCATCTCCATTCTGGAAAACAAACAAACCCGTTAATACTTTTAGTTATAAGGATGTATTAGTCCCAATATGCTCTGCAGAAAGCATGGCCCATTCCACGAGGGAGCAAGGCGGGTGTGGTCCTTATGAGAGCTATAGGTACTTACAGAGACAGAGACACAAGAAGAACACGAAAGCACACCCTATTCGACAAACACTCAGTTTGAACCCAAATCGCAGTAGAGATAAATTCTCACAAGAAACAGAAGCCCCGTCTTTCAAAGATCAGCCAAAGCAGCGACATGCCTTCAGCACAGAGTAGCGTTAACAAGCAATAGAGAGCAACTTGCCGAGACTTGCAACAGCCGGACCTTAACGTTGTCCTTACCTTTTTCTTTTTTTTTTTTTTTTTTCTCCAGAGGAAGATGTAACATTTAGGGACGCAGCTACAACGAACACTTTACTTTCTACGCACCGACACACGAGGGCGTGCGACCAGCAGCTCACTGGCAGAACTCGAGCTCCACGGCCACCCCGCCGACCTCCCTCCCGCCCGCACCCCGGGGCCGCCTCACCTGTGGCGCCCGCCGGCAGAAGTAGGCCAGCTGCTCGTAGGGCAGCGGCAGCTGGTTCCGCTGGTGCAGCACGTGCTTGAGGAGCTCGCAGGCGAAGCGGCAGCCGCTACCCCGGCGCACGGCGCCCGGGAACGCCACGGACACCGAGGGTGTGCCGGGCACCGACGCGCTCCGCCGAGGCCTCATCCCGCGATCCGGCAGCAACAACCGAGCGAGAGCCGCAACCACGCCCGCGCCAACGGCCGCGCCGCCTTTAAATGCCGCGGCCGCCGCGGGGGCTCACGGGAGCGGCGCGCGGGCGAGCAGGCGCAGCGATTGGTAGAGAGCGGGGCGGCGGCGCGAGCGGGCGCGCGGCAGGAGGCGGGGCCCTGGTGGAGCCCCGCCCCCGGGGTGAGCGTGACCGACCGGGCTGGCCCCGCCCCGCCGGCCGCGGTCCCGCCCCGGGGCCGCCCGGCTGAGGCGGTGTCCGGAGCGGCGGCAGCGCTGTCCGGGGGACTCCCAGGAGCCGCTCTGCTGGCTTCCGCCCCCTCCCCGGCAGCCCTTGCGGAGGAGCTGCCTTCGCCGCGCCGCGGGGGGGCGGGGAGCGCGCGGGAGCGCCGTGTTTGGAAACATTGCGCCCGCTGCCCCATTGGGTGCCGCCTCCAGCACACGGCGAGGGGAGGGCGGGCGCCGCTCGCAGCGGGTTGCGGGAGGAGCCGCTCCCCGGCTGCTGTACAGGGACCTTGGCTGCCTGTTGACAGCGCCACAGAGCGTGGCAGATGTACAAAAGCTGACCCAGCGCCGCCCGCCCCAGCGGATGCGGCGGAGGAAGAGCAGGCGCGGTGGCAGTGGAACTGGAGACTGGGAAAACACTCGGTGAGGGGGTGCGGCGCACAGCAGGAGGGTATTTTGCTGTTCTTGCCGCCCCCGGTAGGAGCATAATGATTGCTTCGCACCGAGCTGCTGCCTCTGCGTAGTCATGAGGCATCTCCGATGGCACACAGGTTCGAAAGTGCACCAATGTCCCGATGCCAGCTGGGTCGGGTGCCGACCTTCGCTGTCAATGAACAGGGAATCTGGGGCTGTGCAGTGCCAAGGGGGAAACCCGCCGACAGGCCCCGGCGGGCAGGACCCGGGGAGCGGAGGCATCCTGCGCGTTGCTCGCCGCGGCCGGGAGGCGGCGCTCCCTCCCTCGGACTCCAACTCCCATGCGCCCTCGCGGAGGGAGCCCGTACGGCAGCGACCGGGCCGCGCCGCGGGGCACGCTGGGAGCTGTAGTTTGGAGTGGGCGGCGCGCGGCGCGTTCTCGGCGTTGTAGGCGGGCGGGACTCGCTTTCCCGGGGCGCCGCGCGGCGGTCGGTGACGCCGGGGCGGCGGGGCCGGGCGGGGAGCGGAGCGGAGCGGGCACCGCACCGGGGCGGCGGGGCCGCACTGGCCGCCATGGATTCGCGGGTGTCGGAGCTGTTCGGGGGCTGCTGCCGGCCGGCGGGCGGCGGGGCAGGCGGGGCGCTGCGCGGGCGCGGGGGGGCCGCGCCCGGCGGCGGCGGCTCGAAGGCGAAGAAGAAGAACGGGCGGAGCCGGGGGGGCAAGGCCAACAACCCGCCGTACCTGCCGCCCGAGGTGAGCTCCGACGCCGCCGCGTCCCGTCAACCGCGGAGGGAGCGGGGTCGGGCCCCGGGGCGGAGGGATGGTGCCGCCACACACCCCCCGGGCTGGTCGGTGCCCGGGCCCCGCAGGTTCGGTCGCGGGTCGGGCTGGAGGTGCTGGTGCGGGGCCGTGCGGGGGTCGGGCCGGCAGCAGCCCTGGCAGGAGCCCCGGGAACTGTGTGCCCGCCTGCCTCGGTCTCTCCTGCGCGCAGTGCTTGTTCCTCCGGTGACAGCGAGTTCCCCGCGGAGTCCGCCAGACCCTGTCCGCGAATAGTGTCCCACTGCCTGGCGTCCGTCTGTGGGTGCTTTGCTGCCTGGGAACGACATAGCTTCGGAAATAAAGCTTTGTGCGCCTCATAGTCCCGAGCATCCCGCTCACATTTCTCCCTGAGAGAACGATCTGTGGGTCTAAATCCCTTTCCAGCTGCCAAACTCAGCAGGTTCTAGTGACTCCCTTCCTAGTTAATTTTGACAACTGTTTTCTTACGTGGGGATGCAGGTGGTACTGACAGGGTGTGAGGCACTTGCCTCTTGCAGCAGGAAAAGGTGCATTGGTCGTAGGCGGGTCTGTGGTTCGGTGAGGGAGCTGGCACCGAACTAATAGGACTGACGTTGTGGAGAGAGTTACGTGACCCCAGACTCCATTGCTCAGCCCCAGTCAGTGAGCTTTCTGTAAAATATATAAGAGCCTGTGCTGGGAGGGAGCAGTCCTTCCACAAGGCAAGTCTGTGATGCTTGGTAAGAAGGGAAAACAGTGCTTTGCTACTGTTAGATCTTCTCCATGGGCAGGACTGTGCCCTGCAGCCACAGTTTAGTTCTTGTTCCTTTCAGCTGGAGGCTGGACAGTCCCCTGTGGTTTCAACGCAGCTTCCTGTCCCTGGCTACCCTTGCAGTGTGTGCCACAGCAAGTCTAGGCTTGTTGCTTTTCTATTCTTCAGCAGCCTTGAAGGAGACCCACCTCCTTATTTACACGACAGTGTAGTATGTGAATTGTGTTTTTCTTAGAACTGGAAAGCTGTTAAGAGAGGAAAACCTTCCACAAGTACCCTTTTCTCATTGCATAGCTCTGCTGCCTGAGACTGAGCTGACAGTTGAGAACTTCTGTTGGCCTTTTGCCACCATAAGCACCGCTGTGGTTAGGAGCTGAGCTAGAAGGCAAGGAGAGGGCTATTGCCCTCTGCAAACACATGCAAATAGGTGTCCAGAGGAAAAGGAAGTGCTTACTGTTGCCAACCCCATTTAGTCTGACAAAGTACGTGGCTTCCTCCAGGCTCCAGCCCTTTCTCCAGCCCCTTCCCTTATACCGAATCAATGGGAAAATTACTTCAGTATTGGCTAGACATTGTTTTTGGATAGTTGGAGTGTGTTGTGGTTGGAGTGAACTTGAGGAGTACCTGGGCCTCTCTGTAACAACCCAGTCAGGCTTCAGCCCTTCCTGGGAAAGTTTTTGTGAGCACATTGCATACAGACAGTCCCAATAAGGTCTGGTACTCCAGAACTGCCGGGCCAGTGACTAGTTTCTGTACTTCAAAGAAATCATTAGGTTGCTTCCTTATGTCCGTAGTCCTTTCTTGAAGAGAGAAGAGACACAAGGAGTCAGTAAAGGAGTCAGTGAAAAACTGAGTGAGGGAGGATATCAGTGTGCAGGAGAGGAGGCAGTGACTTTTGTTCCCAGTCTCCTATTTCTGTGCACATTGGGTGAATAGAAGCTGCTGGATAGGGTGGGAGTGGGTTGCTGTCAGTGGCACTTTGTGGGTCATGGATGGGTGAGGGGGGAGACCTTGAATCATATGCTGGCCTTTTTGAAACTGGAACTCTCTCTCTGTGTGACTGTTAGGCTAGCCCTATTCTTTACTGTCAGTGAAAAAAAAAAATCCTCCCTACTCTGACAGTATTACCCCTGTGTTCCACTCTAGTTTTGTCCTCTGGTGTTCATGATGTGGGATGCAAACAGCAAAAACAAACCATAAGGGAAGTTCTGGTTGAGTGTAGGAAGGAATGTCAGAAGAGGGTGGAGCTAACACAGTCTCTTTCTACCACTTTCCCCTCTCTCTGAAATCATCAGCACCAGCTGCAGAATATCTGGGCAGCTGGTGCCTGTAGAAGGAAGTCCTCATGGGCACAGCATCTAACTCTTCTGTCTTGTTTCATTCTCTGACCAGGCAGAAGATGGGAACATCGAGTACAAGGTGAGTCATTTTGAGGTTGCAGAAGAAGGTCTTCCTCCCAGAGGGTTATTTTGCTGTGAGTAACTTCACCAAAGACAGCCTATGGGTAACATGGACAAGCAGGAGACAGAAAAGTGGACACTGTACTAAGGAACGACCAGTCATCTTCTGTGTCTCTGTGCCTAGCAATACCCAGTAGGCTGAGCTTGAAGAGTTTGATCTCAATTCTCCTTTTTAGTAATCTGTTTTAGAAGGTGAGGCCCACTGTGTTTTTCCTGAAGTCTACATGTTTTGGGAGAGCTGCAGGTCTCCCTCATAATGATTTGTCACTTCCTTGTGGCTGCTCTCATTTGCACTTACTTGGCTCCTGTGTCACAGATGGGTCCCAGAGTGCTGCCTTTACCCCCACAGCAGGCAGGGTCCAGATCCCTTTGTCACAATGCAGAAAAGTTCTTCTAACACATGTGTGCACCTTTGTGAAACCCTTTTTCACCTGTACCATAGCTTCTGTGCAGACAGTAACACAGGCTGTGCTTTCTAGAGGTGGGTCAGAGCTGGGAGCATTGCTTCACAGTATTGGGAGTTGCTGGCTTGGGCAATTAGAATCCCTCTGCATCCAGGCTGTGACTAGAACTACCCCTCTGTTGAACAGCTGAAGCTGGTGAACCCCTCGCAGTACCGCTTTGAGCACCTGGTGACACAGATGAAGTGGCGACTGCAGGAGGGCCGCGGTGAGGCCGTCTATCAGATCGGCGTGGAGGACAACGGGCTGCTGGTGGGCCTCTCAGAGGAGGAGATGCGTGCCTCGCTCAAGACCCTGCGCCGCATGGCAGAGAAGTACATGTTCCTTTTCGTCTGCAGGGCCCACAAGCATCAACAGCCTCCAGCAGAGGGGCTCGGCCCCAGGAGTCCACTCAGCGGCCAGTGGCTCTACTCTAAAAAGCCCCTGTATGACTGGAATTCCTTCAGTCATAAGGCTCTGGAAACATGAAGGAAGTTATAGGGCTTTTGTCTGGAAGCTTGAGGTTCCTTGCCTGCCATCACCAGCTTTTATCCCACTCTCTTTGTCAGCTGTTGTTGTAAAGGTGCAAGATCCGTGGAGTACAAGTGTGTCTCACTCCTTCCTTTCGTTTTCATGGCAGGGTTGGGGCTGACATTACGGTGCTGCGGGAGAGGGAGGTCGATTATGACAGTGATGTTCCGAGGAAGATAACGGAGGTGCTTGTCCGAAAGGTGCCTGACAACCAGCAGGTAGGGACGTGTGGCTTGGACATCCTCTCCTGCTGGAGACTCAGAGGCTTTATACAGTCAGCTTCCTTTTGGGATGGGAGCCCAAACCCTAGAGGCACTTTGTCATAGATTGGCCCATAGCAGATGCTTTAAAGAGCTGCCA